ATATATATATATATCCAAAATAGTGTACATGAATTTCGAGATAATCCAAAGGTCCAGACTAAAGGAGGTAAAACAAGGATCATCCCTCTAACAAAAAGCAACAAATACTCAGGAAGCCGACTAGCTGACCATCATTAGCCAACCGATGGCCAGTTGATCGAATGGGCCAACGTAGACCGGATGACTGCCGACTGACTGAAAGCCATGGGAATGGAGTAAAAATGTCAAATTAGTCCTCAAACTCTTTAAATTTCGCCATTCATGGATAGTATTTTAGCCCGTATTAAAAATATCTAAGAACTAATTTGACATTTGTATAGATTGAGATTAAAATGGCGTCTGTAAAGAGTGACGAATATATAAAAGAAAAGTTACCGTGAGGCAATTTCCAGCGCGAACATCGCAAACAGGGAATTCAAGAGGGCAGCAGGTGCTCTGATCATCACAGCAGGTGGCGGCTTCAAAGGGACAGCATCCCCAAGCAAAGCAAAGCCGGCCATACTCGTAGACACAACAGCATGTGGTGCTTGCTGGGCAGGAATAATAGTCATCACATTGCATCTTGGGCTTTACAGGAGTAGGTGGGCCTGGGCTTGGTTTTGGTGGGTTTGGGCCTTTCTTGACAGGGTAGGAAGCCTTCATGGCAATTCCACATTTGCCGCTAGGAGCCCTCACATTGCGCTCCATTCTTATGAAGCCATCTTCTCCCCAGTCAGTCCCCCATGAGTTCTTCACAATCCAATAGTCCTTCCCATTCTCAGTCCCGTAGCCCACAGCGAGAACACCGTGGTCAAGTTCCGTCCGGCAACTTCCGGTGAAAATGCCCTGATTACAAGGTGTCAAAGTATCTAATTAAAAAAATAATTCAATATATTTTTAGGGTTGATTTGCACTATTTGCTATATTTTTAGCGTTTCAGCATGTTTTGTAAGCATCCCTAAAATCTGCATGGAGAAAATTGGTATGATGTTGGTGAAGATGGAACCCAAGACCTTTTGTAGATACACAATATATCAGTTAATATCCTCTTAAATGCAATTTTTTTACTAATCCATTTTTTCAGTGCTAAGGGAACATAGACCAAATTCTATAAATATAAAGATCGTAAAGATATCATGTAAGAGATCTTGTAAGATCTTTCATTGATTTTAAAAGATCTTGTGGGATACCTTAAAAAAAATTAAATTAAACTCATTTATTATTATCACTATCAATAAGCCAATGGAAGGGAAGTTTTAGTTTCTCACAATTACAAGCAATTAAAGTAAATAGAGGATGGAGAGGAGAAATATTTGCGTGTGGAAAGCGTACGCAGAGTTGCGTACATTTTAAGCCTTTTAGAGGGTACACTAAGGTTATATCCCCTGTAATTCTTTCTGTAAACTAAGTGTAACCTAGGTGTACATTCCAAAATGTTTAAAATGTACACAATTCTGCGTACGCTTTCTATACGCAAATATTCCTCGTGGAGAGCCGGGAGTTGCAAACTAAAAGAAGAAAAAAAATAATTGTGGGATTTACATACGTACAACAAATTTCTAATGTATTTACATATCTAACACTTATAATTTAATACTTAGATAAAACTCAAATCATATGCTTCACATTAAAAATTACCACTAAGATGAGCCCTTTTTTTAAATTAAATGCACATTTTCATGCTATGTTTGGATTTGATTATGACAGCAAATAATTATTTAAGAAAATATCAAATTTTAGATATTAGATATGTAAATATATAAAAAAAAAATTGTGCGGTATATAAATCCCCTAAAGAACTTTTAGGTGCTTATAGAATGAAAATCCTAGACTCTCTAAAGAACGAAAAAGAGGTTCTATTGGTCCATCCTATTTGATTTCTCGTTTTTTGTTTTGCACATTAAACCTTACTTAGGCCCTGTTTGGCACAGCTTTTTCATCGACGGTGGCGTTTTCAGAACGCCGCCTACCCGTTTGTTTCGAGCGTTCGTTCGGCGGCGTTCTGAACGCTGCGTCCCGCGGTTCGGTTTTTCTTCATTATGCGGATCGCGGGGCGCCTCCTGCGTTCGGCGTTGGCTGTTGGCGTTAGGGCTGCAATTCCTTCTTTTGCCCTTGGTGATCTCCCTCGCGCTCTCCCCTCGCTTCCTCCCTCTCCGAACGAAAGCATCATTAGGGCTCGATTTCTCGTTCTTTTTCCCTCTCCGGTAAGATCTGGATTCGTGAGTTTTATGGATCGATGAATTTTTTTTGGTTCTTCTACATGTACCTGCTTCTATTGCTTCGGATCTCTGAGTTTTGCGAGTGATTGTTTGGTAGTTAACATATTCTTCTAAAACTTCTCTTGATTTGGCATCTGTCTCACAAAGAACTTCCATTACTGGGAAACGTCTTACAAAAAAATTGTTTACATTATCCGTTGCATCTCTATTGAATGCTACAATATGGATTTGGGAAAGGAGTATCTTTATTACATGCTACAATTCGGCCATTCTTTTCTTCATCTCTACCCGATTTCTGTTGGTTCAAATCAGATTATGCATATGACCTTGACATTATGGATTATGCATATCACATTGCAAGCATGACATATGGTAACATCAAATTATTGCTTAGTCGTCTATACATATGATTAGTCAAAAAACTATTGCTTCTGAAATATGAAAATAGTAAGATTACTCATATCACCAGGCAAAATATCATTAGAGAAGCAATTGCCAGAACATTTCTCCATATCGAAGATGTTTCAAATTTTTAAAAAATCTGAGACATTTTTTCTGATATGGGGAATGTATGAACAACAAACGAATGCTTCTAGATGCCTTTGAAATTTCAGCAAATATGTAAAGAATCAAGTGGTATGTATGTAGATATTCAAATTTCTGTAACAAGTGTATGACCATATAATATCATCCATATGTTCTCCTCAAAATCTGAGACACAATGCTCATTAGAATTATTCCAAATGGTTTCAGTTAATGGCATTAAATTCAGCAAGTGAATTGATTTCAGCCAATAACTATGTTTTCAGCCAATAACTCTGTTATATGGATCTTGCTTGCCTCTTACTGCTAGCCACTTCATTATTAATTGACACTAGTCACATATCTTGGCATTCAAATGAGATTTACAGTGACATTTCTCCATATCGAAGATGTTTCAAATTTTTAAAAAATCTGAGACATTTTTTCTGATATGGGGAATGTATGAACAACAAACGAATGCTTCTAGATGCCTTTGAAATTTCAGCAAATATGTAAAGAATCAAGTGGTATGTATGTAGATATTCAAATTTCTGTAACAAGTGTATGACCATATAATATCATCCATATGTTCTCCTCAAAATCTGAGACACAATGCTCATTAGAATTATTCCAAATGGTTTCAGTTAATGGCATTAAATTCAGCAAGTGAATTGATTTCAGCCAATAACTATGTTTTCAGCCAATAACTCTGTTATATGGATCTTGCTTGCCTCTTACTGCTAGCCACTTCATTATTAATTGACACTAGTCACATATCTTGGCATTCAAATGAGATTTACAGTGACATTTCTCCATATCGAAGATGTTTCAAATTTTTAAAAACCTGAGACAATTTTTCTGATATGGGGAATGTATGAACAACAAACGAATGCTTCTAGATGCCTTTGAAATTTCAGCAAATATGTAAAGAATCAAGTGGTATGTATGTAGATATTCAAATTTCTGTAACAAGTGTATGACCATATAATATCATCCATATGTTCTCCTCAAAATCTGAGACACAATGCTCATTAGAATTATTCCAAATGGTTTCAGTTAATGGCATTAAATTCAGCAAGTGAATTGATTTCAGCCAATAACTATGTTTTCAGCCAATAACTCTGTTATATGGATCTTGCTTGCCTCTTACTGCTAGCCACTTCATTATTAATTGACACTAGTCACATATCTTGGCATTCAAATGAGATTTACAGTGACATTTCTCCATATCGAAGATGTTTCAAATTTTTAAAAAATCTGAGACATTTTTTCTGATATGGGGAATGTATGAACAACAAACGAATGCTTCTTGATGCCTTTGAAATTTCAGCAAATATGTAAAGAATCAAGTGGTATGTATGTAGATATTCAAATTTCTGTAACAAGTGTATGACCATATAATATCATCCATATGTTCTCCTCAAAATCTGAGACACAATGCTCATTAGAATTATTCCAAATGGTTTCAGTTAATGGCATTAAATTCAGCAAGTGAATTGATTTCAGCCAATAACTCTGTTATATGGATCTTGCTAGCCTCTTACTGCTAGCCACTTCTTTATTAATTGACACTAGTCACACATCTTGGCATTCAAATGAGATTTACAGTGAAATTTCTCCATATCTAAGATGTTTCAAATTTTTAAAAACCTGATACATATTTTCTGAAATGGGGAATGTATGAACAACAAACGAATGCTTCTACATGCCTTTGAAGTTTCAGCAAATATGTAAAGAATCAAGTGGTATGTATGTAAATATTCAAATTTCTGTAACAAGTGGTATAGCAGTTTTCATGTTTCTGGAACACCTCATTTCCATCCTACACAATGAAAGTAATATATCCATCCTACACAATGACAGTAATACACCTCATGTTTCTGGAACACCTCATTTCCATCCTACACAATGAAAGTAATATATCCATCCTACACAATGACAGTAATACACCTCATGTTTCTGGAACACCTCATTTCCATCCTACACAATGAAAGTAATACACCTCATGTTCCTGGAACACCTCATTTCCATCCTACACAATGAAAGTAATATATCCATCCTACACAATGACAGTAATACACCTCATGTTTCTGGAACACCTCATTTCCATCCTACACAATGATCACATGTTTTTATGGTGCCAATTGGCTGTTCTTTCACGTAAAAGCGTTGGCTGATGTTTGTAAAGATTTTTCTTGCTAATTGTGTTGTAATTTGCCTTAAGATTATGCATGACAATAGAGTTGAGTCTGCTAAAAGTCTTTTCAAGATTTTTTTTGCCTGAATCAATAACCATTTGCAGATAGATGATTGATATGTTGGGTGTGAGCAGGTTTTGTAAATAAAAAATGGGCCCAAAAGGTTTAGCTCCTTTACAGGTTTAGCTCCTTGCAACTCGGTTTGACTCCAACTGGCTAAAAAATTTGTTTTTTCTTGATTGAAATAGTTGAATTGTGCTGCATCTCTTATGGTTGAGAAATGGTAATACAGAAGATTTATAACAACATATAGTTCTACTGCTCATGCATAATCTTAAGGATTACATTAGATGTGGGAATCTTTTTAATGCTATTATTTTAGATATTTTCAGCTGTATTTGCGGCATTCTCATATTACAATTTGTAGGATTTTGGCTTTTAGCCGCCGATGTGATGCAATTAACAGATGGGTTTTGGTGTTGAGCAAAAGAAATGAAAATTTCATATTACACATGTACTTAATATTTGTAGTCCTCTCCAGTGAGAAATACAGCTTTGTACGATTGAAAAATTTGATAATAAATCATATTCGATGCCTTACTGTGGATGTAGGTCTTTGACCGAACCACATAAAAACATGTGTGCTTTTTTATTTTTAGCACTTTTTTTATCATTTATTTGCACAAATGTTGAGCAATTTAGATAATTTGAATATAATTTAGATAATTTGAATATCTAATATTTCTCCTTGTTGTTGTACTTGTATTTGTCCTTTTTTTAGTTCTCCTGGTACTCATTAAGGTGTGAGAACTGTATGGTATCTTTTAGAAAAAATCTGTGATTATCGTATGTTTCTGCACTATATGTTTCTTTTCCAACAATAAGCTATTCTGAATAAGCTGCCCCAAACAGTTTTGATTCAAACAGGGGCATGAATGTCATTTAACCACCAATAAGTTGGTCTGAATAAGCTGCCCCAAACAGCAAGCCAGATTATTCTGATAATCTGCAGATTATCAGATTATCAGAATAATCTGCTTATCAGCAGATTATAAATAATCCACAGCTGCGCCAAACAGACCCTTAAAGTGCCTATGCAATAAAAATGGAAAAGTCAATAACGACATACTTAATGCTAAAGATTTTGTCAATTAAAAGATGCAAATAGAATGTTACATTTATCCAAAAAGAATAAATAAATAAATAAATACTTAATTAGCCTTACAACAAAACAACCGTATGTTATGGACCAAACACAGAGAGAGAGAGGAGTTACCAAATAGTCAAGATCAATGAGTTATTTGTGTTCTTGACCAAGAACATTACCTTTACTGTCAATAAAATGATCAGAGCAAGCGTAATGAAGGCATTATTAGACTTGTGAGCGAAATCCTTTACAGTCAATGAGATGCATGCATCTCATGTAAAAGGTTTTTAATGATGACATGTTTGAAGAAGCCTATATTATTTACCACATTAGCAAAATTCACTCGACCAAAAGCTAATTGAAAACTATTGTCAGTAACTTAGACGGTGAAATATGTCCTAAAGTCTGCTTTTGTCACTGTTTGAAGTTCGAATAATATGATAAAGATCATTGGCATATTTTATGAATTAAATAAATTGAAGCTAAATGATGAATAGAAGGAACTCCTCATGGTAAAAATTCAAGGAACATATGATGACTGATTACTCTTAAAGAAAGCATTAAAAAAAAAAGCAAGTATAAAAAGAAACAAGATGTGAACACTGCTACATAAGACATTCAAGATGCACTATTTGTCGGTGTGGTCCATGGAATCATGGATGTGGACTAAATGCATTCAAAATTAAAATTAAAAAGTATCGCTCTTACAGCAAAAACATCGTGATTCTCAATGAAAGTTATAATAGACAACGAGCTAATCATTAGTTCATCATTTTATGTTATTATTTTCCTCGGCGGCATCAACGAGTATAGGATCCACACCATAATGACATCATCAGATTACGGCTGCATATATCAATCGCATAGTACCAAATTTTAAGTTGAAATGATACACATATAAAGAGTTCTTATCTCGATAATATGTTAAGATTACACAGATGAATTATTCTACTGATAATGCACAAATAATTTAAAAATATATATGATGTATGGAATTATTTGCTAATAAAATCAAGCCATCATCAAAGAGCGGTGCCTTACTGATTGATACAGCTGGAATGCCCTGCCAGCAGCTTCAATGGCGACACTTACTGGCTGATTTGCAAGTGCCTTCTGCAAAGCCTTCTCATTATTTACAGGAACATCTTCATATGAATCAATCGATACAACCCGAGCATTTTTCTACATCACAAGAGAGATCAACAATTTCAGATTGAAAAAAACACAACATCAAATGCTAACAATAACCAAAATATCAAATACAGAAAGAGAAACCGCGCAGGGCACATACCCTGTAAGAGTCACATCTGCCACCACGACCTCTGTAAGGATAATCCTCCTCAGAGTCAATGCCACCGTTCTTAATGATGAATTCAAAGGCATCATCCATAAGGCCACCATTGCATCCTTGATTGCTGCTCGTGTCGCAATCCACCAACTCCTGCTCTGACAGCGATATGAGTTCGCCAGTCACGATCTGATTAATCCCTTCCACGGCAGCGATGCTCGAAAAAGCCCAGCAGCTCCCTTCAAAAAAGAAGGCCCTAATAAATACCATCGACCCCCAAAAAACCCCACCACTTTCTATTTATTTCTCGGTGTTTATCTACGACCAAAAGAATAAAAAAAACAAATAAAAATAAAGCGAGAGATAGAAAATACCGCATGTGCCTTGATCCTTGACAGGCACGACGGCTCCCTTTTTCGTCCAATCAACGGAATCGGGCAGGGCCTCGCCGGCGGCGAGGCGGTAACGATCGCTAGGATTACGGTGGCGTAGAGGTTTCCGAATACCTAGGTGGGAAGCGCGGTACTCTTCATTGGTGAGATCAGCGAAGCGGTTAAGCCCAAGGCGAAATGAATGGACACCGGCATCGGCGGCAGCATTGTGCTCGTCTATATATCGTAGATTATCCCTGAATACCTCGAATCGCCTCTCCTTCTCGTCGAGCTCGTTGTAGCTCCGGCCATTGTGTTCTATCCACATCTCGTAGATCTCCCGCACCTCCGCTTCGCCTCTCTCCGGCTTCCGAATGCGATGCCTCTCACCGTAGCTTATGATTGACATATCTGGCCCATCGCCGCCGGCGTTAGGAGTAGCTGCTACGCCGGCGAGGAGGAGGAGAATAGCTAGCGAAACGGAGGCCATGGACAAGCAGAAGACGAAAGAGAAATGTAATGGACGTCGAGAAGGAAAAGGATTTCTCGGTTCCTTCCGTATTATCTTCTGAGCCGGGTATTTATAGGCAAAGAGGAGCGGCCGGAAACTCGGGTTTTAAACCGGATATAAAAAAATAAGAGATTCGAGGTTTAAATTTTCGATCGGGGTTAAGGTTAAATAAATTGCAAGGAAATAGCTTATAAATATAGTATTATAAATTATCATAATATTAGGATTAAGTGTATTGATTCTTAAAAATGCTGGTACAAATTATATTGACAATGTTGAAATATTATCTTCTTCCCAAAAAAATAATAATAATAAGTTAAGAGAAAATATAAAAATATTCCTTTTTTATGACAACAGTAAAGATGTAGTCAATTAACGGAGGCGTTAGCTAGCCGTTTTATTTTACCTTAAAATCATTAATTGGATACTTTGCACATATTTAAGCTTCACCATGCTTACAGCGAAAATAGAGATCTAATTTTAAAAATCATAAATTTACTTCAATTATTTATAGAAATGTAATTGTATACATTATAACTATCCGTAAGAATCTCAAAGTGAACTAACTATCAAAAATAAAAAATTTTTCTCAAAGGTAAATAGTCGACTGATAAGTCACCGCCAAGCAGGTGATATAGTGAGCCTCTACAGAACAAAGTGAAGAAATATTACATCAGTACTACGCACGTAAAAATAAAGTGCGTAGCCAATCAAAACATGCCACGACATCTCGCGCGGTAGAGCAAAAAAAACGGCGCAGTAACACGGGGAATATTCCCTCATGTGTTATTCATGTGTTATTGCACGTTATTCATGAGTTATTGCGTGTTATTCATGTGTTATTGATGTGTTATTGTGTTATTATAACATCAAGAATATTTTCAGGATACAATAACACATGAATAACACACAATAACACTTGAATAACACGGGAAATATTCCCGACAGAGAAAAAAACGGCGCAGTAACACGGGAGAATATTCTCTCCCGTGTTATTCTTGTGTTATTGTGTGTTATTCAAGTGTTATTCATGTGTTATTGTGTTATTATAACACCAGGACTATTCCCAGGATACAATAACACATGAATAACACACAATAACACATGAATAACACGAGGAGGAATATTCCCCGTGTTACTGCGCCGTTTTTTTTCTGCGTCGCGCGGGATATCGTGGCGTGATTTTATTGGGTACGCACGTTCCTCTACGTGCGTGATACTGATATAATATTTTTTCGAACAAAGTTCTGAAAATGATCCCTTGATTTGTTTAGGTAGATTTTTAGGCCCACCGTTTAAAATCTCTGTATATTTTCTTAAAATTAAATTCTAATAATGAGGTTTCAATTCTAATGCGCTCCTAAATCACTTTAAAAAATAATTTCTAACATCAAACTATTTATAAATGTAAATATCATATTTTAAGTGCTGCAACATAAATAAAATTGGCCGCAGAAGCTTCTAAGAAAGCATTTTGATTTGACTGAGCCAACAAGCGGTTGGGATAAACTTTGGAACTAGAGAACATGAATGTTGTCGGAGCATTGGAGAGAATGGACGGCAACCCGTACTCGCTGGAACCTTCGCCTGCATTATTCCAACGGTGGCTTTTTAAGATTCCTTTTTTTATGTATATAGATATATAAAATTAAATTATTTTGCTGATTTTCTTAAAATTTATCTTGGGCTGGTCCTCTAATATAAAAGTTGCACAATGCACCTAGAAAATTCACGATATTAGAGTAATGGATTATCGTCTTACATTACATGATAATTCAACACACACTCAGGTAAAAAATACAATCAATAATGACACTAGAAATTTTTACGTAAAAAACTAGTAAAGTAAAAAAAAATCATGGGTTCTGACCTAATTGTAAAAATTCATTATATGTTGATGATTACAGAGACCCCTCGTCTCACAGATAGGAAGGATTACTAAGTTTTCCAAGTTACAACGTCGACTGGCGGCTTCCGGTCAGTGATGGTGGACGATGATTGGCGGTGATCGATGACATTCGGTGGTGGCCGACGATGGTCGGCGTAGTCCCCAGCCACAGTAGTGCTCGAAGGTTGTTTGCTGTTGTCGATGGCGGTCAGTAGTGATTGATGACGATCAACGACAGTTGAGGGTGATTAACGATAGTTGGTCGCTCTCGACAGTGATCGACGGTGGTCGACAACGATCGCCAGTAGTCGACGACAACAGACGTGGTGAGCTCCATCTCAAAGATTTAAATTTTCTCTTAAGTCTCAAGCTCACTTTTATGAGAGGGATATGACTTTATTTATAGAGTTTTAAATGTAATTAATGCATGGATATTAACCACTTTTATTAGGTGATCCAAAGTGTTTCCTTCAATTAGACAAAGTTTGATGGACATTTGAATGACTTAATCATGATAAAATTAAGTGATCTTAGGCTAGTTAGATTCATCTTGTTGAGACACTCAATTCGATTATGAACTCGCCTGATTTGACATTTGTTTGATCTTTCAAATGTGTCCAGAAATCTTTCAAGTGTGTTCTAATGACTTGATCTGGCTTGATTTGACTCGAATTTGATTAATTTTGGTAACATTGGGTTCGTATTGTCAAGTCGGTCAATTTGACTGTAAATTTATTGAAAGTTGAGTTCTGCATGATTTTGTTACGAGGTTTGAGTAATTCTTGCTTAAAAGTCGTCTCGAGATCAGCGTCATCTCTCGAGATTTGTGTCAAATAATGAAATTTTTCTAATAATATATCAATTGTAAAAAATAAATAAAGAGGTCATGCTTCGAGATAATTTTATTAAAATCATTTGTTGATATGGAAAAGAAAAGTTGTCTTTATAGATCCAAAGAGGGAGATATTTACTATTTATTTTTATGATACCAAATGCTTTAATATTTAACCAATATTATCGACAACATCGTTTTTTTTACAAATGCAGTGAAAACATTCAAGTAAATGTTTAAATATGATTATAAAAATTAATTATTATATAAATGTTTTGGGCCAGAGGTATCAAGTCGGCATACTGATTTTTTAGCGTTGTGAGAAAATCCAACACGCATACATATAATATAGAAAATAGCTGGCTGTGGCACATCAATTTTTTGTGGAAACCCTTAAGAGGGGGAAAAATGTCATGAGGACTAGCCTAGTTGAAATAATTCACTAAATAATTTCAAGTACATAGACTCATTCTTCTCCTGAATGAGAGAACATAGAATTGCAATGTTGATGTACAACGATAATTCAATAATAACAGTTGCAACATGTCGCAAAAGTGGTAGTTTATTGCTACGGAGGCAATAGTTCGTTGTAAATGTTGTAAATGATAGTTGTAGTGTCAATCTGTCGTATGATTCATGTAGTTGTGGTTAACATTGTTTGGCATAGAGGTCGTAATAGGGATCTGCAATAACATTCATAGACCATAACGACCAAAGTTGGGAGTTGCGTTGACCATAGTTGGTTACATAGGGCATCACAAGGATTTGTAATGATGTTTGTAAGACACAAAGGCACGATTTGGGAACTGCATGAATTGTGATAATATACATGGATTGCATATGTCAAAATTGGAAGCCGCATGAGTTATTATAACATCCGTAAAACACAGACTGGAGTTGGCATAAGTCATGATAACTGATGCGTGCTAGAAAATTCGCAGCAGTAGAGTAACGGACTATTGTCTTAGCGCATACGAAAGTTCAACACACACACAGATGAAAGAGAAAAAAATGATAATGACCTCAGATGTTTTTTACGTGGAAAACCTGTAAGGGAAAAACCACGGAGCATAACCCAGTTGTTGAAATTCACTATTAATTGATTATTACAGAAATCTTTTGTCCCACATACGGGAAATGGTAACTATATTTTTCAGATTACAACGTCGACAGAAGGCGTTTTGTTGGAGGTGTTCGATGGTGGTTAGTGTTGGTGGATGACAGTGCGGAGGTCGACGACAGTCGGCGGTGGTCGGCGGCTGTCGGCAAGGGTCGACGACAATCGGCGGTGATGAGCTGCGACTTCTCCTCAAAGCCTCAAACTCTCTCTCTATAAATTCCAGTTTCCCCTCATGTGAGTGGTGGGAGTCTATTTATAGTGTTTTGGGTGCAATTAATGCATAAATCAATCATTTGATCGGACGATCCAAAGAGTTTCCTCCAATCATGTCACATTTAATGGATGTTTGATTGCCTTAACAATGTCGGAATTGAGTGATCTTGATCTCGTTGGATTTTTCTTGTCGAACCGCTCGATTCGAGTATAAACTTGCTAGAGTCGACATCTGTTTGACCTTCCAAATATGTCTGGAAATCTTCTAAAAGTGGTTTAATGAATTGATATAAGCTTGATTTGACTTGGATTGGACTAATTTTCATATCATTGGGTTTGTCTCATCGAGCCAGTCAATTTGACTATAAGTTTGTTGAAGTCGAAGCTCTGGGTGACTTTTTATTAAGATTTAAATGTTTCTTGCTTAAAATATCGTCTTGAGATTGTGTTATGCTTCGAGATTTGTGTCAGATGATGAAAATTTGTTGGTGATGTATCAATAACTTTCACAGACTATAGATGTCGGAGTTAGAAACCGCATGAGCTGTAAAAATATTCGTAGACCGCAGAGGCTAGAATTATAAGTTGCATGATCAGTTGTGTATTTCGTTACTTCATAGCATCAATCTTTACTCTGCACGGTGCTTTGTTACTCTATGAAGTCGGTTTTCACTTAGAACGGTGATACGTTGCCACAAGTAAGGATCTACTGACACTGGTCGACAGTGGCTGGGAAGCAATGGTTGAGAGTGGGCAGTGACTACGAGAGCGACATATGTCTATCTGGTCTTCGGTCTAAAACGACACCATAACTTAACTCCTTCGTGCACCAGTTTGAAGTCCAACTCTTCCTTTTGTTCAACCTTTAGGTCCCTTTCGTGATAGGGGTAGGACTCTATTTATAAAGTATGGGAGAGAAATTCCTGAAAATAATGGCATCTATACAACTACATTGAACTGCTCGGAGAGATTACTTCAATCAGACAGTGTTTGGTGGACATTTAAGTATCTTAACGATGTCAAAATTGAGTGATCTTTAGCTCGTCGGACTCATCTCATCAAGACGCTAGATTTGACTATAAGCTTCTCGTATTTTGAATACATACAACATTTCATTTAGCCGTTCATAATTTTCAAAAAAGTGTTTGCATGCTTGATTCGGGATTGAATTATCTTGGATTAAACCAATTTTGATGTCATTTTGCTCGTCTCGTCGGGCTTGTCAGTTTGACCATAAATTTGTTTCCGAGTTCTGATTAATTTTTAGTTAGAATTTGAATTTTACTTGCCCCAAAATTATTTCAAAATTTGTGATAATCTTATCTAATCTAATTACGATTTTCTTTTGTTACGCCTGGCACAAAATCCCCTGCTCCCTTTTATATGCCGCCGCTGCACGCGCACCGATTATCCGCCCCTTCTGTCCCTTGGTGCATCGAATCATGAAGCAAGTTGCCTCTCAATTTCCAAAATAAATAAATAAATAAATAAAACTAGCTGTAAGAACTGACGAAGGAGCGAGTAGAATATATTTTCTTCAATTAGGATAGTTTGAGCCCCATAATAATTTAACTATTATGCATTTATATGTCAAACTTTTTTATTTTTTTTATTTTTACACCATTCAAAATTTTCATATCACATCAAAAATATTATCATTTTATTTTTTTTTAAAAAAAAAGCAACTTTAAGTTAAAAAAATTGAAGTTTAGGCGTTAATTATGTAAATATTTATACCACTAAAAAAGATTGATATTTACTTATCTAACACTCAAACTCAAGTACTTACATTTATAGGTCTGTTTGGGACAGTTATTGATTATTTTTAATCTGCTAATAAGAAGATTATTCTGATAATCTGATAATTTGTAGATTATCAGAATAATCTGGCTTGCTGTTTAAAGCAGTTTATTCAGAACAGCTTACTGACAGCTGTTGTTAGATAAATGATCATTCTGCCACTGTTTAGTTAAGCCGGTGGCAACAGAACTGTTTGAGCATATAAATAAATAAAACAGGACTCCAAAAACATTGTAGATCAGTTCAATAAAGATAACATAGAGTCCTCACATTTTTGTGAGTATCGGAACAAATAAAATAAAGATAAATACAAGTACAACTACAATAAGAAATATTAAAATAATTACACCTAGAATATACTCAAAAATCATTCATTTCATATATCACACCAAAAGTTAAAAAAAATATTACTTGCAACTCACAAAAAAACCAATATAAAAGAAGAACTTTCGAATGATGGCAGGGGAAAGCATACTTAACGAATCAGAAAGTAAAATCGAAATGGTAGGGCTCGCGGGAAGGAAGGAATGAGAGGGATATCGGGTATACCTTACGCCGATCTCAGTCGAAGCGAAGGAGAGGAGGATCGGTGAGCCGAGGGAAATCTGTCAGGCGAGGTGAGTGATGTGTGATTCTCCTTCAAAGGGTCTGATCTCCTGGGCGAGCAGAAGAGATTGATTCTCAGGAAAGGAGCAGAGCGATTCTCGGAAGGGCGAGGGCAGAGGGAGCGAGGCAAAGCAGAGGTGAAGGAGCACAGGAGATCTGTGAAGCAGAGGAGATTTGCGATTCTCTTAGGGCGAGAGCGAGCGAGATATGCAAAGGGGCAGCACATGAACTTTTCCCTAATCGCAGAATTCATACGCAGGACTGGGGGTGAGAGTCCAGCTCGCGATAATAAAACGTCACGGCAGGAATAATTTAGATCAAACGCGATATACAGACGGAAAGACAGCGTTTTCAAAACGCCACCACTCCCTATAAGCTGCCCCAAACTGGCCTTATAGCATATAAAACCTCCTCATTCTACCAAAAAATATCACCGCCCCTTCCCATCCCATCCGGCTTACGTGAAACCTTTGCAAACCCCATATTTTACAAAGCGGAGAATGCAGCCTGTAAAATTTGTTGTGTTGCGGATATTTTTCTATGATATGATATGATTTTAGGTGGTGGAATTATAAATATTATGATTTCGGTGTTACATAAATACCAAAAATTTTAGCGCTATATAATTATACAACAATAACAACAAAGCCTTAATTCCACTACATGTGGTCGGCTACATGAATCTTTTTTCTCCATTGCGTCCTATTTAGTGCATATTTTCATTTAGTTCTAGTAAATTAAGATCATTTTTTTATACAGTAAGCCCAAATCTTCCTAGGTCTACCTCTATATTTTTTAACCTAAGTCGAATCTAAAACATCTACTCTCCCTATCGGATCATCAGATGGTCGACGTCTAATCTCATCAAACTATTTAAGACGACTTTCTCTAATTTTGTCTGTCACATGAGCTACACTGATCCAATGAATATATTTGTGTTAGGGTTTGTGTAGCTCTTGTGACGGACAAAATTAGAGAAAATTGTCTTTGATAGTTTGGTCACATTAAACTTCGACAATCTAATGATCTGATTAAGAGATAAGATGTCTTAGATTCAACTAATAATTATGTATTTATGTAAATCCTTAAAAAAATTCTAGGGGGATTTCCGATCAAAAATATTTTATTAATTAATATTAAATGAATATAAAAAAATGTTCGATATCTTTAGTCAAAATATTAATAAATAATCCGAGATCGGAAATAGTTTACCATTAGAATAATAAATAAATAATATTGGCCTCCAAGATGATGCCGCGGCAGCCTATAGTACCAATGGTTGCAAGGCCATATGGTCCATATCGCGCATCTTAAACTCCCATCTCTTCAATGTTAGTATTAATGAGAGTGATTATTAATTTAAATTGTTATAAATAAAGATAAATATAATGAATATTTAGATGTTAATTGATACGAAAATACTTTGATATAAAATACAAAATATTAATTTTTAAACATTCCTTATAATTTAAAAAAAAATCTAGAATTTAATATATTTTAAGTAAACCTTTTATTAATCATTTTTTAGGTGGGCTTACAATCTAACATGTTTGAGTCTGAGCGAGCTTGAGCTGACATGTTAGCTCATCAAGCTTAGTTCACGAGTCACTTGTCGAGCCGAGCCTAAGTCGCTCACAAGTAGGCTTGGTTCACTTACACCCCTAGTGGAGAGTGGCAATATTACAACCCTAATTTGTAATAATAATGTGGAATTTATAAATGAGGCAAGGACAATAAATCATGCAAGAGCTCCCACTGAAGATCAATCTTAAATATTATTTCCTAATTTATATTTTATTATTCATACATTATACATGTAAATGACTTAAATGATACAAATTTATTTTTTTTTTTTTTTTTTTTTTTTTGGGGGTCGGTGAGCTTCAAGCATAGGAGCTTTAAGAGAGCTGCTATTCGATTGTATTTGATTCTTGAGAAGCATAAGCTTAGATATACTGAGAATCAATGAAAATGATATTTTACAGCCAAATATATACATATCCCCATATTGCAAATAATTACATATTAAAAGTTCCAAACCTGTGAGGTTAACACTACATGTTCTTCGGCGCCAATGAGTAGAAAGTATAGAGAAGCACCCCAATGAGAGCTGGCATATTCGATGCCCATCATATTTTTTTGGTTTTGCCCTTTCATTTCTAACTAAATTGCATGTGAAAATAGGAGCAAAAATTATATTATAGCTTTAATAAGCTGAATTCTGCAGCATGAATATCCATTATTATTCTTCTACTTGTTCCTGCAGCATTCATAAATTGTCAAAAACAACTTAAATTAAATAAAAAAATAGATTAAATAGGGAAATGATGCGATCATAATGCAAGACAAATCTAAATGGAGGTCAATTTGAGTAATCTGGCTTGCCAACAGTAAAAGAAAGGAGGCATTTACATAAACACCATATTTTAATATGTATTGATCTGGATTGATGTGTTAAATTTTTTAATGGAAGACAAATCTAAATAATGCAAGACAAATCTAAATCGTGTCGCTTATCATTTTTAATGGATTGATCTGGATTGGTTTGTAGGTTTGTTCAAATTTTGGAATCATTAAAGCATACAGTCTTATGGTGCATTAAAAAAAAGTTATGATTTCATATGAAGTAATCACACGGCTACTAGATAATAGATATTAAACATAAGATTTATTAATGTATATACCCCATATAAATCGGTTTAGATTAACAACACAACAAATCAATCCACTGAACTGGTTTTGTTTGGATTTCAGTTCGATCTGCCACTATTCTTTCATACTGGGATGCTAGGAACCATCAGATGGTAGCAAATAATGAACTAATGATGTCTGAATTGCACTAATAACACTGAGGTCAAAAGCCAAATTACCTGAAAGCATTGATAGACGTTAGATGATGCATTGATATAGCCAGTACTGAAATAAGACTGGGCATTTTCTTCGATCTTTTCTAGCCTGAAAATGAAGAATTTTTTACATTTACATTTTTTAAAGATTCTATGAATAAGATGATTAATTGTTGAAATTAAAAGGCTTATACTATTTATACCTGTAGACATAATTTACCATGATTCCAGCACTTTGTCTAATGCCTTTCTCTGATGTATCTGCCATCCAGTTTATTCTTTCAATTATCTGCATCATATTCAATCATAAAATCATAAGAAGTTCTGCATGTTAAAAGGTCAACAAGGTCTTATTTAAAATGTGTTAAATTTTTATAAGCACTTAATCAATAATAAGGAGTGCAAATCACACCCTCTCATTAGAGAAAAGCGGATTTACGATCATTCCCCTAGGTGTGCTGATCCACCTAACATGGCAGAGGACTTCACTGGCAATGTCTTTGATGACAAACAAAAGCATTAGGATCTTCTGGGTTCAGTCACACAATATCGAGCAACAATTGACGACTCTAAGAGAAGCTGAAAGCAAAAATGGCACAGAAGCTAAGCTCGAGAAATCACCTGCCAACGGGTGGGTTCCTGTTGTGCATGCAAAGATAGAGCGAAGACGAAAAGGAAAATCCTTGAGCGACTAATGCAAGGCAGGGAATGAGCAAGATCAAGAGCTAGTGAAGCTCACAGATGTCAAGGGGCCATCAAGTGACTGTCAATATTTTGAGCAAATAGGTTGAATTTTGAATAAACTCGATTGCCTTTTCCCATTGCTTTCATTCCATTAAATAACAATCTTACAATCTATTTTAGGTACAAAATAAAGTGCATATAATCTATTTTAGGTAATTTAATAATACATATTCCTAATCTAAATATTCAGCTAAAAGGAAAATATATCAGAATAAAGATATGGGAAATAAGGAAGCTTCTAATTATAGAAAACTCTTAATTTAGTTGTCTGATTTTCATCCTTCTTGATTGACATCCCCTCTCAAATTGATGTTGATTGATAAGGAAGCATCAATTTGTCAACAAGAAGCTGATAACATTGTCGGGACAAAATATCCTTAAGTCGTGAGTTCCGAAGCCTCAGAATGTCGAAACCGAAAAATGCCAACAGCAACGACAACAACAACAAAGCCTTAATCCCACTCGTGGGGTCGGCTTTATGAATCTTTTTTCTCCATTGTGTCCTATTTAGTGTCATATTTTCATTTAGTTCTAGTAAATTAAGGTCATTTTTAATTTAAGTAAGATCATTTTTAATTAAATAAGTCCAAGTCTTCCTAGGTCTACCTCAGGTCTACCTCTGCAGGTCGAATCTAAAACATCTACTCTCCTAATCTGATCATCAGATGGTCGACGTTTAATGTGACCAAACCATCTAAGACGACTTTCTCTAATTTTGTCCATCACAGGAGCTGCACCAACCCTATCACGGATATATTCATTTCGCATTTTGTTTCTAAGTGTAAAGTCACTCATCGACCTAATCATTCTCATCTCGGCAACACTTAACTTATTATTATGCTTCTCTTTTAACGACCAACATTCAGCGCCATATAGCATTGCAGGTCTTACCAACGTCTTATAAAATTTTTCTTTCAGTCTAAGCGGTACTTTTCTATCACACAAAAGGCCCGAAGCATTCCTCCACTTCAACCAACTTGAAGTCTAAGCCGAAAAATGTCGAAGCCTAAAAATGTCGAAGCCCAAAAATGTCGAAGCCCAAAACCTGAAAGTGTTGAAGTCCAAAAGTGTCAAAACCCAAAAATGCCAAAGCCCGCGAAGCCTGAAAATGCCGAAACCCGAAAGGCCGAAGCCTGAAAGTGTCGAAACCCGAAAGGCTGAAGCCTAAGAGTGTCGAAGCCTGAGAGACAACTCTTGAACCATAACATGATTCGAGCAAAGAAAAGTAAGAAATCTTTTATCATTGTCGTCCAAAAATTCAAATAATAGCCACAAGAAGGATCCGCTTCCAATTACACGATCCAGATGTTATCGATTATAGCCTAAACCTAGGATTCGCGTCCTAATCCAAATACTATCATAGCCCACAAATAGGATCCAGTTACACGATCCAGATGCTATCGATCATAGTCTACAAGTAGGATCTGTGTTTTGTTATACGATCTAAATGTTATTGATTCTTCCTGCGACGACGATGACGATTTATTCCCTGATTTTCACTCCATGCAGTCAAAGTAAAAGAAATCCATGAGAGCGTCTCCATGTGGTCAAAGTAAATTTTCTTTATCGCTTCCTCCTCACTTCCAACGATCTTGGCTAGGGTTTTGACGTAGCAATCGATCATTTGCTCTTTGGTAGCATTCTCCCCGACTGGCTTATCCATAACGATGAGCCAGTGCTCATAATCGCAGCCAGGGAATAGAGGCCCCATCTCAGTCGACGGCCTGTCACTGAATCCACCGTCGGATCCTGAGTTTGAGTTGATAGGTGAGTAGGGAGAGTCACCTGACCGATTGATTCTGCAACGAATTTGCTTGAGCCTAGCAGCGCTGGCTCTAGCTACGAGCCGCACGGAAGCATAAGGTATTGGACGACGGCGCATGATGTCGCCAATCATAGAGGAGACAATGCCAATAGGATGCAGGGAAGAGCGAACGTCAGAGTGGAAAAAGCGTTTCAAGAACAGTCATCTGAGCGACGATGGCGAGGAAGAAAGTGTTGTAGGGTAGAAAAAACCTTCCTTCCCACAACAAGAAGGTCGGCGGGAAGGGAGACTTGACGGTTCTTCAACGATTACCGGTGATTAGAGCAAAAATTCAGGCTCTGATGCCATGTTAAAATTATGAGAAAAATTGGTTGAATTCTGAATAGGCTCGATTGCATTTTTCCATTGCTTTCATTCCATTAAATAACAATCTTACAATCTATTTTAGGTACAAAATAAAATGTATATAATTTATTTTAGGTAACTTAATAATAGATATTCCTAATCTAAATATTCAGCTAAAATGAAAATATATTAGAATAAAGATGTGGGAAATAAGGAAGCTTCTAATTATAAAAAACTTTTAATTTAGCTGTTTGATTTCCATCTTTCTTGATTGACAGTGACCAACACAAAAACAAGAGTGGGGATGGAGATTGAGGGCAGTCGTGAGGTGTTGAGATCTAACCTACTCCAACAACAAACGATCCAGGATAATCGACTGAGCGACGTGTGGTCTCATGCGGTAATCGCAAGCAGAGGAAACGTGACTGGCAGGCAAGCAAAGACATGTACAAGAGGGTTTGAGCAGGCATGCATTGTCAGTGAATCAGAACTTAGCACTGACTTCCACAGATGAAGTGTGTTACTTCATGGAAGTTTTGGGAGTTGCTTCCTTCGACGAAAATTTGTTGCTAGGAACCACTGAAGATAATCATCTATTGTATATATCGACAATAATGCAAGAAGAGAGATAAAGGGACTTCACGGGAATAAGGCTCAAAAACAGCGCATTTGCAGGAAATAAGCACCAAGCATCTTTATTCCCGTTCTTATTTTATGCTCGATTTGAGAGAAATTAACTTACACCTAAAATTAGTTTTAGGGTAAATGTTAAATACACCTTAAATTCACATTATTTTTATTTTACAGCATACCCCCACAATGTAATTATTTTACAATACACCACTAAATTGCAAACCAAACAGCCCCTAAGTTGTTAATAAATCATTAGAATTGAAATTAATAATTTTAGGTAAAAATACTTGAGCTAGAAAATAAATGCAAGAAGAGTGATAAAACGAACAACTTATAAGAATGTAATTCACAACTGATTTTTACTTTGTAGTTAATTTAAATTACATTCGTTGATGACTTCTAAAATTATTTAGATTCTAAACAATCAGTGATGAAAAAATAAAATTATATTTAATTCATCGTCTGACATTATGTTCTCGTCTTGAAAATTCCAAGCAACTAGGTCGGGTTGTGACAGAGCAAAAATCAACAAATTTTGTTCCTAATAAATTTACAATTTGCAAGTCCAAAAACATACAATTATTTACATTACATGAGACTATCATGAAACTCCTCTCTTCATCAAAAGATTAGAAAGAGAGCACTATAATATGTTTTAATTTCTCATCAATATTACTTTGTACCGACACTTATTGAACTAATTATGGATTTAATGCCTCGACAAATAAGATGCTCAAAAGTTACTGGGTGATGTATTATCTAGATAGCGTGAAGCTCACCAATCTGATCTCAAAATGAAACTTGAGATGATGTGTCTTAAATAATAGTGGCTCTCAATGACCCAAGGTTGCATAGACTACATTCATCGGTGTCACCAATGCCAAGCACATAGTGTTTTTCTTCATGAAAATGCAAATTTGCTGCATTCAACCATCATCTCATGACTATTGGAGAGTTGGGGTACAAATTTTGTCAATTCTATTGATCATCCATCATTTAAGTTCCATAGGTTCATCTTTCACCATTGACTACTTCTACAAATGGGTTAAAGCAATTCCACCCAAAAAGGTCAAAAAAGATTTAAGGGAAGAACTCTTTAAAGACTAAGCTATCTACAACTTCAACATTGCTCATTATATTATATATGATACAGACGTAGCCTTCAAAATCAAACAGTTTGCTTGTTGACATCACACTGAATGCTTATGGTCTGGCAGAGACTTCTAGCAAAACTATTTTGAAACTTGTTCGAAAACTTCTAGCAAAAATCAATTAAGAGTAGCATAACAAGTTGCCAAAGGCCATGTGAGCCTACCACAACACATATAGCCGAAGCTCAAACCACACTTCATGCTCTTGCCTTTAGAGTTGAAGTTGTTTTGTCCCTAGAGATAATTCGTCTTAATTCTATACGACTAAACAGTTTTATTTATCAATTCATAATGTCTTTACAACAAATTAACTCAAAAGCAAACACTCAATCAATTATTTTATTCTACTCAAAAATATTTTATATCAAATTTCTATCCTCTAGTATCCCTGCTTCATGTAACCTTTCAGAAAAAAAAAAAAGGATTACAACCTCCCAAAATCATTGGATCTTCTATATCCATTTAGACGAACACTATTCAACAAAATTTATTTTTCAAATTCTTATATTCACTTACATTTTGGCTTTAATTTATATACGCACAAAATCATCATTAATGGCATGCCACCACACTTGAATGAATACAACATACCGCACCATTCTGTAGGTGAAAATTTGCAACTGCATCTAGAGCTTTTCCTCGTTTCTTTTCTTTAAGGTACCTGATAATTTCATTTAGAAGGGACATCAGAAATACACACCATTCAAAAGCGAGTAAAACAGTAGTTTAAATTGACAATTCAATAATTAAATAAAAAACCTGAAGCTCAAACTAACAACAGATGCAAAATAAGATGGCATCCCTTCAAGTAATAGATTTCTTCCTTTCTCTAGCAAATATTAAAAGAAAACATTTTTAGTTTTACCCAGTATATTATACCATAGAATGATGACAAGGGTATACGCATGATCTTTAAATAAAAGTCATGCTAGCGTGCATGTGACATTGTTCTTAATTTTTCATGAGCCATTAGAAAGGTAAAACTGCAAAATTTCAGTTAAAGGCATTTCGAGTTCAGCGCTCCGCCTATATCCGGGCATGCTTCACTTCTTAAGCAGAGAAACAATTTCAACGCCAGCAAAAAATGCTGCAACCCTTCCCTACTAACTGTTCCTCAAGTCCCAGCGCCAGTAAGCCAGCCATGCATAATCACACCCATCATACCAAAAAAAAAAAAAACCCCACCTTCTTTACTGCTCTTCTCCACTTCGGCATCCTCTTGCAATAGCCAAGCAACATTCAATTTATGCAATTCAGATGCAACATTTACCCATATAGCCTAATGATACCGGATTTAATATGAAAACAAACAAATTCGATTATTATTGCACGAATTTAGAACGAAATGCAACAAGAGTTCATAAAATTGGAAATAAACTGACACGGATACAAGTGGGACTCTATGGGGACGGGAGAGGGGGGAGGGGATGAACACTGGCTGAACAGCGGGTGTGGGATGGTTTGGAGATGCTATGGCAACAATTAGGTGAATGGTAGGGAAGAGGCGGCAACGAGATAGATGTTGGCAAGTTGGGGGGGTTGTCATGTCCTGACCCAGGGCTTGGAATTAACCACGACGGAAACGGACGACCGGACGGTGGAAATAAATTCTCAGTTATTTAATTTTTATTACTAACAATTTAATATTCAAATATTCATAAAAGAGCCTCTAAAGAAAGCAATTAAAATTAACAAGTAAAAATTTATAAATTTTCGTTTCTTGTTCTCACCTCTCACACACGTTTGTTCTTCTTCTAGTCATCTTATTCGAATACTTATAACCTAAAATAAATATTAAAGTAACAAAATTAGTTATGTAAAGATAACCCAGAGTAATTATAATTCTATACTACATTAACCCAAAGAAAGAAATCAATATGAATGTTGGTCATTCATATCTCTATAAAAAAATTTCTAATATGCTAGTCTTTCAACTTTTTATAAGAAATCTTATATGTGATAATGCATAAAATCCTAAAGTCCTCTATATATATTTTCTTAAACTTTATTTTAAATGCACAAATTTCTCTCTGATGATCACCATCAACAAAACCTAACACACTCTTGACCGATATTATCTCATCGGAATAACGGTTAGCGATATAAATATCACAATTATCTAGGGGGAAAGCATCTTAGCTGTCAATGACCAATATTATCCCATCTGCATAGCGTTTAACATTATAAATATCATAATTATCTGTAGAGGTAAGCTCTGATCTACTAGTCTCTGATTGATATTATCTAATCGACGGAACAGTTAGTGATGTAACAATCATAATTGTCCAAAGTGATAGAAAAATCTTTATGGAGCAGGTATACTGGCATCCCCTGCCTATGTTATTAAGGGGTGAATATCTCTTTTAAAAATGCACATATAAACATTTAAATATAAGTTAATCCGTTATTTATAACATACATTATTCTGAGACATCTTTATGAATTTACTAAGATGCATACTTACTCTATTGTGCAACTAATCATCATATATATCATGCATATCCTCATATCATTCATATCTCTCATCTCATTCATATCTCTTATATCATATATATTTTTTCTATCATGCATATCTTTTATATCATATCTATCATACATATCATGCATCTCATGCATATCTTGTATATTTTATGTCACGCATATCTTTTCTATCCAACAATATGAAGAATTTAACTAAATTAGAGCATACATAGTGTCAAACATACATTTTGAAATAAATAAATTTACTGAAATTTAAAAATATAATTATTCACTTTGATTGTCAAGCTAGATTCTTAATCTTTGATAACTAGCAGGAAGTTGCGGAAACTTTTATATGAATATTAATAACTTACAATTACGGAGCCGCCCTACGACTAGCTTCCACACGCTTGCATCGAACTCGCCACCTCGGGTAAACAACCTGGAATTTTTGAATATATAAGGATGTCATAATACCTTAGCTCATAAAGTAATTTAACCTATAAACATAATTGATGAGCTTAAATTACATTAAACGACTTTCGGCAACCCAAACCTTCTCCGGAGCTGCCAAAACTTCTCTTTTCTTCTTATCACCTTAATCCTTCTCCTATCTTCGACTATATCACGCTAAACGCTTACGAAAGTTTAGAAACCACTTTTGACACTTCTAACACAAGTTTGACGACTAAAGAAAATGAAAAGCGTACAAAATCGAGAAAAATATCAAAACAGACGAATGGGGAAGAAAACGAAAGTCTCAAATATCACTAAAATTAGTTCCGTACCTTTTTTATTTCACCCCTGAAGCCCTAAATTGCCACTTGCTACTCTGTGTGAGCCACATCAATCGTGCGGCTCTAGTAGTTGAGCGCTACTCTCGCGGGAGAAAGAAATCGAGAGAGGGAAATAGGTTTCGGCACTCTGCGGCTTGCGCGACCAACTCTGCTAGTGACTTTGGAGCCGATCGTGGAGCTTAAGGGAAGATGAAGAATATAGGAGGGGAGAAGAGATGCTACAGTTAACCAAGAGGAAGGGAAAAGGATTTTGAAGCTTTGAAGTAAGGATCCTAGCCCTTCGATCTAAATAACCCAGCAAAAGGTTGGTTGGGAACAGTAACAACGCAAAATTAGGGAAAGTTAATGAAGGGTTAATTAAATTTAAATGAACTTATAACTTCTAATTTTCATGTCTTTCAATCCATTTAGTAATATATATCAAATTGATCATTTTGACTTATAGAGATTTATAAAATTATTTCGATTGAAATCTGACAAATGTGAAATTTGGAGTCCATGTTAAGTCATCAAATTTTTTGTCTGATTTCTCGAAACTGGTTATTACAATCTATGCTCATTATAAAATTTTGTCCTTGAAATTCATGAACTCTGCATCAATTATATATTTTATGAAGATGGAACATAAAGTGATTACAAAATTTTGTTTCTTGTTAGCATATGTGATAAACTATACATCTGATAAATCCAACATAACACCCAAAAGACAATTCATCCATCAAACTCTACGCATCAACATCAATGGCAACATGCTCTTTTGATTCCTAATGAGTTAAGGAATAAACTCTTAGGTGAATGTTCTGCCTTGATTACTTCTTACGAGCCATAGTATCAGCTTTTGTTATCCTCTGTTGACCACTTCTAGAAGTAGATCCTTCTTGAAAATTCCTCTAAGCCAGATTTCTTCTTGTGTTAACATCTGATGTGGATCTCTGATTAGATAGGGTGTTTTCCCCTCTGATGTTCGGACTGTCTACATAAATAAGACACTTTCATACCAAATAAATATTCACCATGAAGTTGCTTTCTACACTTAACGAAGGATGTATAGTGCTACTATCAAACTAGTTAATAAATCTACTAATGTAGGACTTTATCTTCTTCCCAATAAACTCTCCTCCTGAATGAATTGTTGGTGTCACTTCTTTCAAACTCCTCTTGTGCAAATCTCTTTGCTTCTGAGTCTGCTGGAAATCAATCTCCACCCGTGTAACCCTCTCCACTAACATTGAATAGTCTTCAATCCCACGTGACACTAGTGGTTATCTGATTGAATCATTTAATCCAAAAAAAATCTGTAGCATTTCTCTACATTTGGAATGAGTTGGGGTGCATGTCTCGATAACATAGTGAACTTTGCTACGTATTGCATAACTGATCGATCTCCTTGCACCAACCAAATGAATTTTTCTTGCATTTGTCTCCTCGGCGACAGCGGTACAAACCAATCTCTAAAGGTTCTCACAATCTCGTCCCACTGCACCAAGTGGCTAGTTCTATCTCTGAACTTCTCTTGTATTAGACCTTGCTACAATCCTTTAGCGTCTCCTTCAAAAGCAAAAGTGATCAGAATAACTCTCCTCTCTAATGGACATGACAACCCATCAATAATTTTCTCCTCTCAATAGCTAGTTTTCAGCTTACACTGACCCCCATGCTCTAGAAATTAAATATGGTCTCATATCTTGAAAGAGCTTCAAGTACTTATTCATTGATACTCATTCACTGCTACTAGCTTGAAATTGAGAATTCTTAATCAGTTGAGTCACAGCATTCATCATATCAAAAAACACACCAATGTTGATTGTGACATTCTGAGGTAAAACAAATTTTACATTATTATCTCTGATATGTTTCTCATGATCATCCATAATTCTGAAATTACAATATAATTTAATTAGATTTAATTAATTTTTTTAATTTCTATTATTTATAACTTAATGCAATTATCCAATTAGCTCTTTTATTAAGATTCATAATATTTAATATAAACCTCTTATCTGATATCACTTTTATCATTACCTGACACGGGGCATGGAATTAACCAAGACGAAAAAAAATTGTCAAACGATGAAAAATAAATTATCTGTTATTTTATTTCTATCATCAATAATTTAATATTCAAATATTCATGAAAGAAAAACTAAAGAAAGCGATTAAAACTAAATGTAGAAATTTGCTTTTTTTTTTTGTTCTCACCTCCTATACATATTTGTTTCTCTTCTATTCCTCTTGTTCTAATGCTTATAACCTAAAAAAAAAAATTAAAGTGACATAATAAAGTATCTAAATATAATGTCGAAGCAATCATACTTCTAAACTACGAGAACGCAAAAAAAGAAAACCAATATGAATATTGGTCATTCATATCTCTATATGAGAGCTTATAATATGATCATTAATATTTTTAAAAGAAATTTTATAGATGCTAATGCATATACAAATAACATTCTTTAAATGAAAATAATCAAATTTTCTATATGTATTTACATTAACTTTATTTTTAATTTATACATTTTATATACACAACTGTCTCTCCGAGTATCACCGTCATATAATTTTAACACATTTTTTGCCGATATTATCCCGTCCACACAGCGGTTAGCAATATAAACATCACAATTGTCTAGGATGAAAAACACTCTCACCTATCTCTGGCTGATATTATCCCGTCATCACGGCGGTTAGCGAAATAAACATCACAATAGTTTGCGGAGGTAAGCTCTGGCCTACTCGACCCTGACCGATATTATTTTGTAGGCACAACAGTTAGTGATCTAACCATCAAAATTATCTGGGGCAATGGAAAAATCTCTATGTGCGTATGTATAGTGGCATCCCCTGCATGTACCATTAGAAGGTGAACTCCTATGAACATGCATATATAAACATTGATATATAAACTATTTCATTCTTCATTGCATATATTATTTTGAAATATCTTTATGCATTTTAAACATGCATAATACTTTGTTGTGCAATTAAATCATATATATCATGCATATCTTTCAAATAATTCAATATCATTATCTTATGCATATCTATTATATCATGTATACTATATATATCATGCATCTCATGCCTATCTTATATATCTTATCTGTAATGCATATATTTTTGATTTAACAATAAAAATAATCTAACTAAATTAGAACATACACGCATTCAAATATACATTTTGAAATAAAAAAATATCACTAAAACTTAGAAATATAATTATTCATCTAGGTTGTCACGCTAATTCTTAATCTTCGGTAACTAATTGGACGTCGTGATAACTTTTACATAGACATTAATAACAAGAATTTACGGAGTCAACCTACGATTAGCTTCCGCACGCTTGTCTCAAACTCGTCAGCTCGTGTAAACAACCTGAAATTTTTAAATACCTAAAACATGTCAGGATATCTTGGCTCATAAAATAATATAACCTAAAAACATAACTTATAAGCTTAAATATACCTTAAACGGCTTTCAACCCCCTAACCCTTCTTCAAAGTTGTTAAAACTTCATTCCCTCTTCTTCTTATCACTTAATTTTTCTCCTATCTTCGTTGATATCTCGCTAAGCCCATACGGAAGTTCACAAATCACTTTCAACACTTTTGACACAAGTCGGCGCCTCCAACGGATACCGAAAATGAAAAAGGACACAAAATCAAGGCAAATATCAAAATAAAAGAGCGAGAAAAGAAATGAAAGTCTCAAATAACGCTAAAATCAATTTCGTACATTTTTATTTCACCCCCGGAGCCCTAAAATGTTGCCTGTGGCTCTATGCGGGTCGTTGTTGTCGCGCGGCTACAATAGTCGAGCACTACTCTTGTGGGAGGAAGAAATCGGGGGAGTGGAAATAGGATTCAGCACTCTGCAGCTTTTGAGGCCTACTCTGCTCGCAACACTAGAGTCGATCATCAGAACTTGCGAGAAGAGGAAGAATACGAGAGGGGAGAAGGGGCGCAACTCTTAATTGAGAGGAAGGGAAAGGCGTTTCAAAACTTTGGAGTAAGGATCCCAGCCCTGCGGCCTAAATATCGTGGTAATAGGTCGGTTGAGAACAATAATATTGCGAGATAAAATAAATTTAATTAAGGGTTAATTAAATTTAATTAAACTTATAACTTCCCATTTTTATAAGTTTCAATCCATTCATAATTTCTATATAGTATTATATATCGAATTGATCATTTTGGCGTGTAGAATTTTATAAAATTATTTCGGTTGAAATATGAGGGATGTGAAATTTTGGGTATATTTTAACTTACCAAATTATTTACACGATTTTTAAAAACTGATTATTTCAGAGGCAACAATATGAAGATTGTTGGAATGTTGGTTAGCGGCAGAGATGGCGCAGGAAAGCAGGAGGAGCGACAACAAGGAGGAACAAAAGGGAAGGTAGGGCAATTAACAATCTGATTTTTAATTGAGCTGGGGCCGGCTCAAAATCGTCACGAAAAAACTTCAATCCAAAATTTTGGATCGTAGCTCGGCTCATTTATTTAGATCCGATCTCGATCCAAGTCAAAATTCGAATCAATTTTCGAGCGATTAACAATCTTTGAGCTAAATTCATTATATTCACAGCCCTAGCATCACGAAGGTTGTTAACGATCAAATTTCGAGTCGATTTAGGGTCGCCTCGTAATTGGCTTGAAAAAAAAAAATTGATCCAAAATTTTGGCTGACTGCTCGGCTCATATTTTGATCTGATCTCGATCCGAGCCAAAATTCAAATCAACTTTCGAGCGATACAATCTTTGAGCAAAATTCATAGCCCCAAGGGAATGGCAGTAACTGGAAAGGGGTAGGGGAAGCAGAGCGGCAGCAAGAACATGCGGGTGGGAGTTGAGCAGCAACAGGAAGGTGAAGGGGGTGTTGAGTGGCAACAGAAAGAGGCAGGGTGCCTGTGCGGTAGAAGGGAGGATGTCGGACAATGCGAGATCGACAAGATAACCACACTCGGAGCAGAATACAGTTGGAGCACCACCCGTCCTCGTTTACATCCCTAACAAGGGGAAAAATGTCTGGTTGCAGGAGCTCTGAAATCAGGAACACCAAAACTAAACCCTAAGGCACTCAAATAGCACATACATAGAGCCAAAGGAAATAAAAAGGAAATAGAAGAAGGGGGAAAGGGAGTATTAGTTCCTGCCCCTTGAATTGTCGAGCAATCTAGTAGGGGTTGGACCGAGCCCTCAGCTAAACAAGTTGGCCTATTTGGTTCAAGCCCCGCATCACCTATTCCCTAATTACCGTGTATCCATGGTAGCATAGTAAAGATCATACATTGTTGGACGCCTAATGATTTCAAAAGCTAAGCATTAATATCTGCAATTTGAACTGTAAAAGTAAAAATTCTATTAGGGAGAAATTTAAATAACATGCAGTTAAATCTTCAAAACTCAATTTTTTGTTGTGCATTCAAACCTGACACAGAGACGCATTAGCGGACGTTTAAGTGCACTCAACAGGCAATCAGACTTGCTCCACTCGCTGTCAGTTGAAGATAATATGTTAAATAATATTTTTGTGCCGCTTTTCCCATCATCGAAAACCCTGCATAAAAAGAGTGTCAATACAACGGTACAAAGATGTGGAGCTGCTCTTTTGCAAGGCAGAAAATTTTCAGGAATGAGCATTAGCAGATGGAAGGTTCTGGTGGACACGAACATAAGAACTCATGCTCTATTTTGAGGGTAATTGATAAGAATTGCTAATAAAGACATAATAAACCCATCTCAAGAGTTGATTATAATCTAGAGGGCCAGGAAACCACAAAAACAATCATTCATACTCTTTATTTAGGAAAAAAAACACATCACAACGTTCAGAATTTACAACCTACAATTTTTGCAAAAATTACAAGATTTAATTCAAAACATGATTGGCCGTTTAATTTCATACTCCTATTCAAGCAGAATAACATGAAGACAGAAGTGTTAAGGTACACCTCTATCAACCAAAGAGTATAATATAATAAAATGACATCGAAATTACAGTTTCCTTGACAATTAATCAATAAAAAAAACTCAGTTTATTTGCTCCTTAATTTATATATATATTATAACTAATGAATTATTTGAAGTCAAATTAAGCTTGACAAGTCAAGCATGCCATGTTAGCTGCTCAGGCTAAGCTTGGCCAGTCAAGCATGCCATATTAGCTGCTCACAATCAAATGCTTGTAAGGCAAATAATACGCCGACTATGGAAATTGCAATATAGTACTTAGGACCAAATTTAAAGCTATTAAGCCATAAGTTAGACATACAACTCTCTCTCCCCTTCCTTGTCCTCCCTCACCCCTCCCCCATCCCCTACTTTCTCTCCTGCAAATATGAGCCACTTCTCAAAGCAAATCATTCATGTATGGCATCGCTGCACAAAATGAAAATCAAATGGATATAGCCAAAAGAGAAGGAACGAGACGGGTCTCCAAGGTTGCCAGACTGAATTCTACAAAGAACCAAACAATCACACATAAACTGTCATTAGGTGCAAAGAAAGTAGCTCCAACACCTGCAGACCAATGAAACGAGAGAGAGAGAGAGAGAGGCAAACCCTCTTGCTACCAAGGCTGCCACATGCACACATCTGACTGCATTAACTTGCACACAGCCTTCAACTATGTGAACATACAGATAAACTTTGATTGCACAAATGTGCAAACAACTTGTGTATTGCCACCATACTTGCCTAGCATACTCAAAAAAATGAAATATTTTTTAGAGCTGGGTATAGGGGTGTGTACTATTTGTATAAATCCAAAAAACCGATCCGAACCGAACTGAAAAGACGGTTTGATTTTTTAAAAGATGGTTCGGTTTTTTGCTTTAAAATGTCCAAAATTTGGTTTATCGATTACAGTTCGGTTTAAAAAACAATGGATTTAACCATAAACTGATTATTAAGGGTAAACCGTGAATATTGAAAGCTATTACTTTGGCAGAAGACCAAAAATTATTTAAGGAGAGTTAGGGTTCACCCCCGACTCTCCATTTGGATTTGAAGAAGCCTACGGCCCTGCGCCGCTCGCCTTGCCCTATGGCATTGATTGAGTAGTGCTCTGTGGCCTCTATAGCTGGCTACCTGGCTCCCCTCGATTAAAGAGGTTTGTTTCCTCTTTGGTGTAATGGTGAATGTAAGGGTCGTAATGCCGTGCAGAGGCGTCGAGTGTCAATGGTGGAAATGGGAAAGTGGGGGCCTGAAGAGACTTGGTCCTCTTGGATATCTCGGTTCGGAACCCCTAGTATTTTCAAACGGGTGCTTTCCCGTTGTAGTTGTTGCCCTAATTTTCTTTACTCGTAGCTTCTTCTACAACTCTATCTACTACAATGAAGGTATACACTTCTTAATCTTAACTGAGCAGTAGGGTCGCTAGGGTGAACTATTGAAAAAATTCGTGGGTTCATTTTGGCATGCTCCATTGTTAGATGGTGGATTTATATATTGTATTCAATCTTATTGTTTCATTTTAAGGGATCAAGTTGAGCAATATGCTTGAAGATAAAAATGGGTATAAGGAAAGCATATCAAAGCATCTTGACATTTGAGAATAGATTTATCCCATTTTTATATGGTGGAAACCAGATTTTGATTTGGTATACTTTGATTTGGTTTCTTATTTTTCTTTTCTTTGGTTTGTCATTATTGTATATTTTGATTTCTCATAAATGAAATTCTCTTAAATTTTAAAATCTGCATTTGGTATATTTTGATTTGGTTTCTCATAAATATTCTCATTACTTTGATTTAGTTTCTCATCTTTTTTTTTTTTGGGTATGTCGCATATATATATATATATATATATATATAACTGAGCCAAACATAAAATTTGGATTATTTGCTTGAAGTGGCTAGCTGAACAAAATATGCTCAAACGTGGCTTATTTACATTTTTAGTTATGGAGAAGACTGTTCAGTTTGACATGGCCTTAAGTCTAATGCTTCACAGCTTGCATCAATTCTAGTCTAGATAGCATGACGGTTAGTTTTCTACAGATTGAAATGTTTGTCTTGCTTTCCATGTTCAGAATTCTTGTGTTATTGGCATTACATTAATTGTTACAGAGGATAGATGTTGTAGGTTTACCTACAAAAGTATGATTGAGTAGCTTTGAAACATAAGTTACATGATGATTAGGGGTTCTTAAAACTTTACATGAGATTATGGTATCCTTAAAGCTTTACCATCTTCAATCGCGAAATGATGATAAACCAAAATTTGGACATTTTAAACGCACATCAAAGTTTATCGTGGTATGCATGATTTGGACATTTAAATGTTTATTGTGGTATGATAATGTTTGGTATCTTATGTCCAAACCAATATGTGATGTGCATTACATAAGTTACATTTTAAATGCACATCAAAGTTTGATGTGCAATACATAAGTTTGGACATTTTAGATGTCCAAACCAATGATTTAGTTTCGATTTATATATGTGGTCGTTCTTTTTGATGAATTTCATGTAATTTTTAAGAGATTGTTGGATGGAAAATAATCAATATGCATGAATTTCATGTGATTTTGTGTGGGAAATATGTGAAGTTTCTCTAGCAATTTACATTTTTTTTTTCTTTGATATGGATTTCTCTTTTCTTTTTCTATGTTATGTGCACAATAGAACGGTTCTTATGTTAATTACTCTTTTTGTTATAATTTGGATAGATGTCACATTGTGAAGGGAGTTCAAATGAGTTAGATTCTTCTCAACAACTAGTGCCTATTGATTCTACCCATCTAGTTAATTCAGCTGGAGATGTTAATACATCCAATAGCAAGTTAGTTGATGAGAAGAAGAAAAAGCAAGTCCATAAGGCCAAAATCCGATTGTTTGTGATCATTTCACCAAGTTCATAACTAAGGTATGAGGGAAGATGAGTAAGTGTAATTATTGTGAAAAGATGTATCTTAGTGATCAAAAAATTAATAGTACAACAAATTTATGAACCCATCTTTCTATTTGTCAAAAAAAACACTCAGAATCTTCAATCAACTCAGGCACAATTAGTATCGCAAACAAACGTTAAAAAAGATGAAACAGGTGGAGGTTTCAAGGCATGAAGATTTGATCAAGAGAATGCTAGAAAAGATTTAGTTGTTATGGTAATTGTAGATGAATTGCCCTTTAAACATGTTGAAGAATATGGGTTCAAGTACTTCATGTCCAAATGTTGTCTGATGTTTCATATTCCTTCTTGATGGACGCTTAGATGAGAGGGAAAATTTGAAACAAAATTTTAAGAACTCATGTAAAAGAGTTTGTTTAACAACTGACACCTAGACTTTCATTCAAAGAATCCATTACATTGACGAAGATCGAAAATTGAGCAAAAGAGTAATTAACTTTTGTCCAATTTATAGTCATGGAGAACTTTTTGGATAAGAAGTTTAAAAATGCTTAATTGATTGAGGGATTGATGCAGTTTTTACAGTTACAGTTGATAATGCAAGCTTCAACAATGGCATCACCACTCACTTGCAAAAAAAAAATGGGTAAAAGAGGTGGGAGTATCCTTGATGGTAAGTTCTTACACATTAGATGCATTGCACATATCATAAATTTAATTGTTCAAGATGGGATCAAAGAGGTTGGTTATTTTGTGCTTCATATAAGAGCAGTTGTTAGGTTCATAAGACAACTCTTGCTCGTCTCCAAAAGTTTAAAGAGTGCATTGAAGTAAAAAGATTGAAAGCAAAAGTTCATTACTTAGATGTTCCCACAAGATGGAATTCAAGATATTTTATGTTGAATTCAGCACATAGATTTGAGAGAGCCTCCGAGCGCTATGAGGTGATTGACCCTCAATTTAAAGTTGAATTTGAGAGGGGTTAGGAAGGAAGCCATGGACTAAATTTGGTTCCACGTGACATTGATTGGGAGAACACAAGAAGACTAGTATGTTTCTTAGAATTTCTATGAGCTTACTTTTCGTATATTCGGCTCATTGTATGTCAAATCAAATGCATTTTCTCATGGAAATTGTTGAAGTTTGTGCATGCTTCATAAATTGGAAGTGGATAGAGACCTTGAAATCCATATATATAAATATATATATATATCTATGTATTCCTATTTTGTATATATATTTATATTGCAGTTATTATTGATCCTCAGTTTAAGTTAAGATGCATTGAGTTTGCAATCATGGAAATGTATGAAGGCCCCAAGGGAGTGCATTAGCATAATTAATAAGGTCGTCTTGTTATAATATGTTTTATTACTATAAAATAAAGGAAGATGGTCAAAATAGAAATAAGCATAACAATGGGATAAGACAAAGTCCAGCAGTTGAACCTAATGATTTAAAAGATGAAGGGATAAAATACATGATGATTGATAAGTTTAGAGCACATAATTGTGGGAAAAAAGACGTTGATAGCAAAATAGATTTAGAAAAATATTTAGCTTAAGATTTTAAAACTATGCAAGAGGGTTTTGATATTTTGGCATGGTGAAAGATTAATGCACCCTCATTTCTAATCCTCTCTCAAATGGTTAGACATGTCCTAGAAATTTCAATATCTACAGTGGCATCTGAATGTACATTTA